ACCAGTGGAATTTGGTTAACAATGGCAACAGGGACTGCCGGGGTAGCCGTCGTTAAGCAATGCAGTCATGTGACATCACACTTCACAAGTGCATCGCTTAGCAACGGAAATTCCAGTCCCCATTGCGGTGGTTAACTGAGGACTCCCAGTACTAGATGTTAATTTTCTACAGCCACAGCAATTACAGTACTGCCCCCGCAAACTGTTCAGCTCCAGATTCCAGATTTCATGAAGCCTGCTGGAGTTTGGAGAGTCCGGCTCCTGGCCTGTATGGCCGCAGCCATAATTTCTTCATCAAGATGTGGTCTTTGGGGTGAGGCTTTTATTCCTTCCTGTTTGGCATTGCCCGCGTTCGCTGTCTGCAAGTTGGGCGAGCAGGCAGGGCTCCCTAATACGTGGACACACAATTACTAATATCCACAGGATTCATCCCTGCTGGAGGACGTGGTTTTGGGTGTCAAACGTGGAATTTATTCTTTTTACTTTTTTTAATGAACTAAATACAGAAATGAAGAAAAAGAATACACACAGTTATAAAAAGAAAACAGAACACCCCTCCCCCACAAACCAACATATATTTGATTGATTACGTGCCATCAAGTTGTTGTCAACTCTTATCGACCACATGGATAGATTTTCTCTGTGATGATCTGTCCATAACCTAGTCTTTCAGCTCTTCCTCGTTGCCACTGTAACTAGGTCCACCCACCCTGCTGCTGGTCCTCCTCTTCTTCTCTTTCCTTGCACCTTTCCCAGCATTATAGACTTCCCAGTGGAGCTAGGTATTCTGATTGATTGATTGGCTGATTATATGCCTTCAAGTTGGTGGTGATTCTTAGAGGTCACATAGCTAGACCTTCTCCAGGATGATCTATAGACCCTTCAGGTCTTGCTATAACTGAGTCCCTCCCCCTTGCAGCTAGCCATCTTTTTCTCCCTCCTTCCATCCTTCCCAGCGTCAGAGCCTTCTCCAGGGAGCTGGTCTTTGCGCAATGTGTCCAGAGTAGGATAATCTGACCCTGGTCATTTGTGCCTGGAGTGAGAACTCTGGGTTGATGTGTTTGATGATCCATTGGCTTGTCTTCTTGGCTGTCCATGGTATTCTCAGAAATCTTCACTAACAAACATATATTTACAGACATAGATATATCACATCTATATCAGTGGCCTCCAATCTGGACATTTTCATGGTCAAAGCCTATTCTTCACCTTGATCCTTTTTTATTTCCAGCAAGTTGCTGATGAAAGCACTGTGCCTAAATGTAATTTTAATCCATTTTTTAAAATCCTACCTTGCTTAGATTGTCATGACTGCTGGTATTGGTAAGCCTGATTTAGCCTACTAGGGTGCTTTTTTGGGGGGGGGGGAGAGTATAGGAAGTTATCCTACTTCATGTTTGCCTGTTAACCCAGTTGTATAACAAGCGCCAGGAGCATCAGAAGCCTTGTGCATCATTGTACATGAGAGAGCAGGAAGCAGTTGCCATAGAAACATCGGGGTTGGACCATTGTGGAGCATCTCACTTGCCTTTCTTGTCAGCTGCACGAACCAATGATTTGCAGAAGAGATGGAAGGAGTGCCAGTTAGCTGGTCCTTTGGCTTCTGGATTGTTTATTTATTTATTTTCTTCCAACTCTGCCCTGTCCTATATTAAGCACATTCCTGTATAATTAACAGTGCTGTAAAAATAAATCCGTCCAGGAGATGCTCTAATCTTGCATCTCCCTTTGAGGCCAGCCCGATTGAGACATCATAAACCTGAGTAAAGAAAATAAGCTGTGCAGACAAAGCTATGCTTGGCATTTCTGGCTGCACAAAGTTCTGCCCAAACCCGTATTGTTATTTATTTGCTGTTTTTCTTTTCTATTATTTCTCTATATCATGCTTTAAGAAATATTTAAGGTTGACCTCTGATTGCAAATGAATTAAAAATGCAAATGAATAGCACGTGCAATATTTATGATTGTGTTTATACTGGTAAACAAGCAAAACAAAAATTGTATTTATAATGTGGCCCCCATCAGGGCCAACTGCAATCAGAAGTGAGAAATAATAATTAAACCATAATTAAAATGACACAAAAGCAATAAAATCTGTGTACGTTGTGATATATTTGCAGTCGTGGTAAAAAATAGGATAGAACTGAATAACTCTGTGCTTTGCAGATTCACTTTTGCCAGCCCACTTCCCAGATGGAAATGTTCCGTTTGGCCTTGTGAACAATTTGCCTCCGACCTATTTTTTCTTCTTATTTTTGTTCTTATTTATCCCACTCTTTTGTAAAATTCCCAGGGGGCTAGTAAGTCTATGAACAGACGGGCTTTTAACTGTTCCATTTTCGCTGTCATCCTAACTACTTTGCATTGTCTCAGGCTGCAGAATTAAGGCCAAGTGAACCAAAAAAATGGATGGACATGAGAGGAATCTGGTCTGCTCTGGGAACTTACTGTCATAGCTGTGCTCATTAGTGGCAGCAAGCATTCATACATTGCGCTAAGCCACCATTGGTTTAACCATGGCTTATTAAATAAGGCATTGTTGGCTGATTTGCAGAGTCATAAAACTGTAAACCCGGGTTCATAAACCGCAGTGGCTGGGTTCAGGCACCACACGGTCAATACCAAGCCAACCATCTTGCAGGTTACCATGCTGTGTAAATCTGGGCCCAGGGCACTAATAAATGATTCAGTAATTGCGAGAGTTGGGGCCCCAGTTGAACGGATCAGTTACATCTTCCTTCTGGCCCAGGTAATTTGATTTTCTTTACCTGCCCAGAACTGCAGGTAGGCATGTCCTGCGCTTAATGGCGTATGGGATTTTGATTTTATTGTAATTTCTTTTATTGTTGTGAGCTCCCCAGAGTCATTGAGAGTTGGGCGGCATATAAATTTAATAAATTATTATTATTATGGTTGGTTGCAGTCAGCCAGATGTTTAGACTGGATCTGGCATTTTTGTCTACCTATCGAGTCCTCGCCAAGGACCTGGGATAGGCAGATGTTGTTGTCTGATGGTGTTAAAGGAATCATTGCAGGATATAAGCTGTTCCAAGTAAAGCTGCCCTTTGCAATTGATGGTGATTTTGTCAATGCCAGTGGTGTTCAAGTGGTGCTCCAGATGTTTTGGGTGGTGGTTATTGTTATTATTGAGGCCTTTATTACTCATCCTAGATTATGTGCCTTAGAATCACAGGGTTGGAAGGGACCTTGGAAGTCTTCTAATACAACCCTCTGCCCAAGACAGGAGTCCTTTTTCTCAAAGTAAAAAAGTGATTCAAACAAGTGGAATAAATAAATAAATAAATAAATAAATAA